TGATCCTTCATTTTCTTGTAGTGTAGGCATGGGATGCTGCTGGTAGGAGGGTCATGTTTCTGTATCAAAAAAGAAGACGGTTGTCACAAAAAGTCTTTGACAGTATTGTCAGTCTGTCAATTCTCAGTAAACCTGACTTGACTTGAACCCTTTGCCAATATTGGCAGGGTTGCCGGTTTCCACACAAGCTCAACTGCTGGTGAAATCAATACCAATATCAAACTAACTTACAATAAACCTATACTGAGAACTTTTTATTACCACTTAAGGGTGTATTCTGTTTAGAGAACTAACAGAGTTGCCCCCAACAAATAATAAAATCATAATCCCAGAAGAAATGAATAAGACATGACACTTGTGTTGCATCTTACCCGAATACTACCAGTCCCCAGGAAGTAGGGTCTGGACCAGGTTACCACCCTGGTCTCTCTGTGCAGGTAGACTGGAATGCCTGAGTTATGGAATGTCATGATCCATCCATCAGGTAGAGGCTCAGTGGGAGGACGACCCCGACCTAGCAAAGGAGAAAATGTAAATGTGATGCAAAGCAGACACCGATTACTTTATGTGTGTGGCTGCTCTAACCTGTTAACACGGGCACTGAGATAAAAAGCAAGACATTCTGTGACACACACGCTGCAGTGTGTGCAGGGCTTTAGATTACCCAAAACTAATTCAGCTGAAACGTTTATCTCGGTGTTACATACTATACACACTGCCAGCAGTTTAGAGTGTGACTTGTCTCACCCACTAACGTTACTTCTTACAGCTTTGTTGAATTCATAAAGTAGAACACCATGTTATAGTTACACAGCTTAAACAATGGTTTTATCACTGATCTACAGAGATTTTGAACAATAAGCTTGTTTGAACATAGTGAAGGAAGAAAATGCTATTTGGATACTCATTAAAAAAAAAAAAACACGTTTTTTAGAATTTTTTAGAAATCAGATTACAAATCTTACTAGTTCAGTGAGTCCTCGCATGTAGTGTTTTGTATCTCACCAGCTGACCAAGTGCATATATTAAAGATATTTCAGAGAACTAAAATGGAAAAGAGGGTGACTTGGCTGTCCATTTAAGTGCAGATCTTACCACTTCTGCTTACCAAATTGCCCAGGAGAAACTGTGGACTGTAATCCATATCAGCAATGCAAGCAATTGTGTAACATGACACTATAACTAAAAACACAATACCATCCTATATTCTGTAGTACTGGAATCACTCAACTGCACCTTCTGTGACAGTACCCAACCCTGAACAGACATATCCACCACTCACTCTTCAGGACAGTCTTAATTTTGGTCATCATGGGCTGAACACCTCCTTCACCGTCTGACTGATGATCACTGTCCCCGCCATACTTGTCCTCTGCTGGACGCATCTTTTTTGGGACCGGCATGCCCTCCTCCAGCAGAGCATCGACATCATTGTCAAACTCCTCCTGGAAGAGTCAATGGTTAAGGCCGGGAGAGAAGGATGGGTCACCAGTTTAAGGGAGTTTTGAATGCTTTGCCTGAGAAGGACTGATGTAATGCCATAGACAAAAACAAAACCATATGGCAGTCTACCACAATATAGGAAAAAATGATCAGCTAACTTTTTGAAACATAAAAGTTAAATACACCTGAATTTAGAAATAGATTGAACATTGAATCTATATATTAACTACTATTTTTGCATCAAAAGGAAACCCAGCATTTAATAGAAGAAATTAAAAATGGCACTAACCTCTTCCAGCATGTCACTTATCATTTCAGTAATACAAAACAAAGAAATAAACAAAATGCAAACAAACATTTATTTAAATGAATGCTGCTTAATGGAACATTTGACCCTGGTTTATCCAGTCACACTGATACAGGAAAGGTCTCAAGTAATGCAATGCCAACTCAAGAAATCATTAGTCATTTTTCTTGCCATGTGATTGTTTTTGCTTTTTTTACTGGTCCTTTGATTCAGTTAGAGCTATACTTAATATATACTACAGGTTCCCAAATAAATTGTTTCCTCCAATCCATAGTTATCCTGATTGTTCCATTATTCCCTGTAGCCAATAGCATAGCCATAAACATACAACCCAGCTTGTATTTGTATGAGCAGAAGAAAAAGACCTGCCAGCTGTCCTATTATTAGCTTCAAATACATAAAATGTTGTTTTGCAATTAACATGTAGAACTATTGGGAGGTTATCATTTGTTAGATAATGTGTATCTCAATGTGAACAGCGAGCATCACAGCGACATCTGTGGATCATCTGTGGTTACCAGGACACTGTTTTCAGAATCAATAGCGGCTGTGTACTTTCTGATTTCTGATGCTTTGAAGGCCCAATCAAATTCAGCTGACAAAACTAAAATGATCTGCGTGACTAGATACAACTTTTTTTGGGGTGATCTGACACCGGGGAGGCAGTTAAGTAGTGACATTCTCTTTGGCACAAGAGTGGAAAACCACTAACATTAAGCTGCAATCCCAACAGAAACTGCAGGGGCTACACTGAGAGCTGCTCAAGGTATTAGTAAGAGGGCATGATCCAGAGTCCATAATCATTTTTATGATTAGATAAAGATGTATAATCAGTCAGTTTATGATATTATGAAAGAATGATATTACAGCAGCAATCATTTCTCCTTAATGTAAAACACTGAAGTGAACAGTAAATTGTGCTGTTCATGTTACATGTTATATTCTAAAGAGAATTAGCACCTGCACATATTTGACTGACCCACTATATGTTGTCAGATGATGCATTACAGAATTTCTCTTTTTGTTGCCGTGTCTGCCCCCCTGCTGTGCCACCGCAGTGGTCTCAGTGAGTTAATGACGCAGCGCTAATAATGCCCTCTTTTGTGACTGCACTGCACGGGCTGCAATAGGCCAACACTCATTTCTGTTCGACAGCAAAGGACAAATTGCTGGTGTAGCCGACAATGACAAGCGACACTGCAGACATGAGAACAGACGTACCTCATAGGAGTAAGCCACGGCCTCGTCATCTGCTTGCTCCTGCTGTACTATGACCTCAGACTTAAAGCCGCCGTGCTCCCCGTCGTCATTATCCAGGAAGTTCTCGTAGAAGTCGTCCAACTCATCCAGGACAGCGAACTCTACCTTGTTTTCCAGGTCTACATCAGCCTCCTCTGACGTTACGCCTGTCGTGTTTCCTGCTCCAGAGCTACCCTCGGCTACCTCCTGCTCACTAGTCGAGTCATGCAACTCACCATTCAAGCTGTCTAAGCCGTCATCACTTCCTCTCTCCTGCCCTTCACCTGTGTACAAAACCTTCCTGTCTTTGCTACTGCTGCTTTCAGTGAAGCTTACGCTGATCTTAACGTCTCTGAGCAGTTTGAGGTCTGGTAAAAACTTGGTGACCGGGGGAGCGTGGCGGGCTGTTCTGGGGCACGGTGGGTGGGGACTGGCCTCATCTGAGAGGTGGCTACAGAAAGTTACTGAGCCCATGCTGAGGGGCTCCTGTGGCTGGGCTTCCCCGTCCCCTGGGGTGTATGTGTATCCATCACCACCAGAGCTAACGTCCATTACCTCTGCGTCACTGGACGTTTGCAGGGGAGGTGGTGGAGGTGCTCTGCCCTCATCTTGGCCAAAATCATCAGGTGGCTCCAAGGGGAGAGGGGGTAGAACATCATCTACTTCCATTCCTTCTGTTTTACCAACTACAACTTATACGGACTGGATAGTTATTTTAAAATCTGACCTGCTTAGAGACTTTCTTCTTATCTAAACCCAGAATGCATGCAGAAGCACATCCCTGTATAGACCACGTACCAGAGGTGAAAATGCTAAGCTGACTACATTGTTCTTTTCATTAATGTAGACAGCTTTCAGAATCACTGTCTCAATTATTGGAAATCACAATGCATTCAGCTTAATATGGGATCTAGGCACTGATCATCCTCCACTGGTATCTTCTGGGAGCTAGAGGAAAAAAGGACCGGTGAGAGTGAGAGGTCAGTTTGTGCAACTTTATGACTGAAGACATTTAACAAATTACTACTAACGTTACAATGTAGCTGCGGGGAATTGACTTCAACTTTACATACGGGTCCCTATCCTGGAGAATATGATGAACCTTTATCCAAGTTCAAATAACAAGCAGATGCACTCAAAGAGAAGAAGCTCGTTTTAGCGCATATGCTCAGTGTACAGCTGCGCGGCGGGCCGCTGCTGAGCTTAACATCAGTGCTAACATGCTAGCACGCAACCACCAGACTGTGCGGATACCCGCGTCTGCAGGGATAGTCAGCGAGCCTAAAAAACAGTCAGCTACAGGAATACTCACCGATAAATATGACACGGCTGTCTCCTATTGGCACCTAACTACCTTTCTAAATTATTTTAATTTTCGACGCGCCGCCATACTGCCTCAGTTGCAGCCCCGCCATCTTGAAGAAAACCACAGCGGCACACCAGCTCAGGGCCCGCCTCCCAGTGCCGGCTTTTTGATAATTGATCGATCACCGGGCCAATCACAACGTCCTTCTTCGACGTCTTCTGAAATGATTTAACCAATCAGCGTAACAGCATGACACAGTTCTTGACAGATGAGCAACATGTTAACATGTAAACGCCGGAATAAATCCCAAAAATGGAAGACTGGAAACATGTTCTGTATAAATCCACTTCTTCACACTGGTTTTTGTACTAAAGATGCACTACACACTTATAACCATGAACCCATTTTCTTTGTCAGTTAGTATTGTTAGGTATTTGTGTTATGGTTTTCTTGTGTTCTCTCACCGCCACTGTCTTTGAAGTAAAAATATTCAGAGTACAAAATGTATTGCACGACAGTATCTGTTTTAATTATACAGTCTATGGTAACATCCTAAAGGTCTGAAGGGCAGACTACATGAGGATCATGTGAATCGCAATATCTCGAATTGCCAGTTGGGGTCACTGTTCACTAACAGTAGTAGTAGCCCAGAGTTGTTCAGTTAAATTCATTTTCCCCCAATAAAAAATACAGTAATATTAGAGATGGGTTCTTAAATCAGTTTTAATTTATATTAAGTATCTCAGAATATCATAAAATAAGTTTCATAACAGAAGTTTAGCTCATATTCAAGAGCAGCAGGTTTTCACCTTTTTAAGAACATTCAATGCAGTGTTGACTGAATGTTTTTAATAATCTTACAATCTTGTACAGCAGTAATTTTGACTTTTCAAAGTAGGAAAAACACAGGTGTTACGAATAACAATAACAAGGAACCAGAAACCAAAGAAGCTAAATTCAACCCGAATTAATTTTATTATTTGCACCTGTACATTGACTACTGTGACCTGTCAAAATGTCACATGTGAAAAAAACCTTTTTGTGGAGAATAAAGTCTGCTATACGCTGCCTGGGACCACCGCATGGCTTCATCAAAGCTCCACATACTGACAGCAGATCAAAGAAAAAAATATTCATAAGTCATATCAAGTGTAGGTTCTGCTTTCATGGGTACCTGAAGAGTTCACATTAACCGAGGGGACCACTGGTTAAGTGTGTCCTCACTGAAATACCACTCTACACAGAAGATAGTGGAAAGCAATGTAGCTTAAAAAACCTTTTTAGTCCTGTATGTATAAAGGCTACAACAAATTGATAACATTTTTAAAATATTTGCATGTAGCTTTATCCAGTTTTAAAACACTTAATAGCTTTCTTCAGGTTAGTAAGTGTGAATATTCTTCCTGTTGAATTGGTGTCCAAAGGCCTGTATGAGTGACATGTGTGGGTAAAAGAAACACAGGAAGCTTAAGTAAAAGGAGTCAGCTGTCTATTTGACACAGAGTGAAATGCACTAAATAGGTGCTTACTAAAAAGAAACTTGGGGTTCCTCACAGTGTGTTTGTGTAATATGCCAGCAGTTATTCTATATTCTATATATCTATATGAGTGTTTGGATAAATAGTTTTTATTGTCAAGCAGCTGTAAAATGCATTATTCTACCATGGAAACAGTCAGAGATCCAGGGCCTGAAACTATTTGCATTCAACACTGAAATGTCTGTTGTAACCAACACTGATACTACTGTTGTGCAGTGCCGGGGCATATATAATGAATTACCTGTAACGGGGTAACAGTAATCAGAAATTTAAAAAGTAGTTGGTAACTCCGTGTGACAGTTACTGTGAACTTTTTCTCTAGGGAAATTCAGGGGAAATCCTATTGTGTAAAACAGTACATCATTTGCAGGATTTTAAATTAAAATAAAATTTGGTGTAATGAAAGGATGCTATTTCTAACTGCAGTTGAGACATTGTGCATAAAGTGTACCATGTCATATGATGGATTTAAAGGAAATAAATCTGACACCAACAAGAATAAATTAAATTGCATTAAAATAATCCTGTGCACAACAGTATTGATTGCAGTTCAAAGCAGGTTGCCAGCAATCTGTAATGGATGAGACTTTTTGGAGCAGCCCAAGCCTGCTGTTTTGTGACATGTAGGTAAAATATTTTCTTCTACAAAACTACAAATGTTCTTTGGCAATCTTTTAAATTAGCACACATTTTCAAAAGATGCATTTTAACTTAATCAAGAATAAGAAATACATGTCACCGACTAGCTGAAGAAAAAGTGCAGATGAGTCGTCATGTTCACATAGCTGCTACGGAGAAGTGCAGCCGGGGGGGGGGGATGGCAGAAAGGCACAGAGCGGGTCTTCTCCATCATGTCTTCACACCTGCAGCTGGAACTGGAAAGAACTGGTGCTCCACTTGCTTGTGTCACAGTTGAGCATGGTGCGCTCTGTGAAGGTCACATTACCTTCTGCGTCTATCAGGATAATTGTATTGGTCCTAAATGGGCAGGGACACAGGGGACACAAGCATAAAGTATAAAATGAATGACTGAAAATGAAAAGAAGAAACAGAAAGGGGGCGGGAGTAACACTGATCGACAGCTGTAATAATTTAAAAGTCGCGTTTTCATATTTGAGGTATTCTGCAAAAATTCTTTTTCAAGAATGAGCGGGCAGTGGCAGACAGGGACTTGGTAAAGGTCTCTTGGATGACTCTGGCAAAGACTGACCCTCTTGACCTTTTGGCTACAGAGTAGTCTCTGTACCCACTAATCCACCGTAGCATCACAGTGCAGATGATACCCTTTCATTTTCTTGCTGTGGAGGATTGATTACACCAGGGACTTTTGTGTATCAGTACTTTCTATCATCTTGCAGGCGAGCACAGCCCTGCCAGTCACCTCAGGTGGAAATAAAGAGGGGGAGTTAGAGGTTTGGCGTGGGTGGAAGACACTGACCTTGTGCCATAATGAGGGGAGCGAACACACACCGCTGACAGGGCCTGGATCATGGGCTTGCTGTAACCATCACCCTGGCTCTCCTGAGCTGGATCAGGTGTGTTCCTGTTAAACAAACCCACAATAAAAACCTGTATATCATTTCTGTCATATTGCCCATGCAGTACGTTGAAGTCAGCAATCAACTGATCCATAATATCAATAAATCATGTAATATAAGCACAAAGGGTCCCTCAATCTGCCTTGTCCGTGATATCTGAAACTCTGTTGTAGCTCTGTGCTTTCAGTCGCTCAAGAGGGAATTTATTTCTACAACTGGAGTCTAGGTTTCGCAGGATTGGCTGTCATTTCTATCAGTTATGAAAAACATTTTACCTAACATTGTCTTGTTGAGACACGTGGCTGTCTGGACGAACACAGCTTTGCATCTGAGTGCTTGGTGAATCCACAACCACCACTAATCAGACAGATTTTAAACAAATCCCCAGTTTGACCCCATTATGTAAACCACATATTTAGAAATAAAAACAGTGCACATTACACTAAATGGCATGTGCATAATGCCCATTGCATCGTTTCTCTGTTAAAGGAATAGTTGAACATTTTGGGAAATACGCTTTCTTGCTGAGAGTCATTAGTAAACATGAAGGTACAGCCAAATACAGGTTAATCTAGCTTAGCACAAAGACAGAGCAAACAGAGCCTGGCTTTGTCCAGTGGTAACAAAATCCACTTCCCGGTACCTCTGAAGCTTACTAATTAGCATGTCATATCTTGGTTAATCTGCATAAAAATTGAAAAGCAAAAGCAAGTTGTGCATTTACTGGGGGTTATGTGCTGGAATTTATTTTGGCAGAGCACGATAACTTCCTGAAGTCTCAGCTAGGTTGTCTGACAATCTCATGGTGACGCCAAGATAAAACCACAACTTGTTGTTTTTACTTACAGTTCCATATTTACCGTACGGACATGAAAGGGTACGGATTATCAATACTCTCATCCAACTCTCAGCAACAAAGTGAATCGCTGTATTTCCCAAAATGTCAATATGCTTCTTACACCCTTCCGGCATAACGCAACATCATGCAAAATCCCAAATCTTATCAAGGGGCTCAGCTAGTCCCCTACAGCAGCTCATTCAGAGCCCAGACACAGTATCTATAATGCCTGGTATGTTCCAGGGACTCTGTCCAGTTCTTTGCACCCTGAATCAATCAGAGTTTGACCCCACACTTGGCCCCTGACCTGCTAAAATTCTGCAATGGTCACTATCAACATACATACATACATATATACAGTACAACTGACTGGAGATGAAAATAACCAACATTCGTGACACTATCAATGGCAAGTCATCCATATTTAACCCATAGGCTTGTTTTACATCCAACACAAAGCCTTTAAATGTATAGAGATGATTCATAAACTAATATCAAGATGAAATGTTGTTATGATGTGTGAATCTAAGGCAGTGTTTAAATGTTCGCCACTCACAGTTCCTCATTATTGAGGACGTTGAGCAGCTCTTGCACCAGTCCATCGCAGGACAGGGACTGGTCGTTGACAGCACTGGTGAAGTGACGCTTGCCTTGCAGCAGTTTCCTCCATGGAGTGTCCAGCAACGAATTACTCAAGCCATAGATTCCTGCTGAGGGGCACATGAAAAATACAGACAAATATATACACTAGTGAGCTCTGTTAGTAACCCTATGGCACATGCTCCAATAAATAGACAATCTGAGAGCAGTATCAATGTGGAAATGTCAGGCTAACATGAATGGGCCATAGGCTGAGAAGAGAGGTACACGTGAAATCAACGGTTTCTACAGCAACCATATTAAAAACACAGACCTGGTTTTAGATGGATGGGTTCAGGGCTGCCTCTGTTTCCATAGTAACACACAATGTCTTGTTTGGCTCTACATGGGACACAGTAAGATGGAAAATTAGAGATTGCATTTAGTGATGATTAACCTTGTTTATGTCTCATTATGAAGGCTTTGTCAAGAGTCATAATGCTTCTATGCTCTCGAAATAAATGCAAAAACAGCAATGTTCAAAGGAGCACAAAGGGGAATCATAAAATGGGTGCTCAGGGTGAAAGAGAATATCAGCAGTGCACCATACAGTATTCTTGAATGTTTGATTTTCTTTTTCACCTTGAAAACAGGAATTAAGAAGCCTGTTTCATTTGTAGGGGCAATTCAAATGGGAAAACACCCAACACCATAGTTAATTGCAGCATTTAAATCTATCCTAAAGGAACAACTGGATAAAATTAAAGCTTCAAAATACAAATTAGTGCTGCAAACACCTTTGACTACCACAAAACCCGTTAGTTACGGTGTTAGATCTCTTTGCAAAGTCCTCAGTTAGAGGGAATTTATTCAGTTTGAAAAATCTGTCTGACATCAAGGGCATCTGTGACGGCTTTGGTACAGGAGAGTGAATAATAAATTATGACCAAATCCTTTGAACCAGCAGGGGAATGAATTTTTTGATGTCAATTTTATGACTGCCATACCAGTGGCATCAGTCAATCTGAAATGTGGTGCAACACTGCTTCAACATCTAACTTGGAAAGTTTCCCAGTCAAGGGCTGGCAAGGAAGGAACAGAATATGCTGCTGGGCTTGTAGCTCTGCCACACACTTTATTGGATAGTTTTAAAAGCCATAATACAAATCGTCCTTTGGTCTATACCCTATATCACCATCAGCAGCACCGTGAAACCTATTAACAACGATTTTATATCAGATTTTCATAGCTGATCTGAGTTGATCGACAGAAGATTAACCAACAACTACTCCGATAACTGATAAAACGTTTGATTCCCTTTTCAAGTAAAAAGGCCCAATTTGCAGCTGTTCTCTGCCTTATATCACTGCAAATTGAATATCTTTAAACTGTTGGACGGACAAAAGAAGCAATTTGAAGACGTCACATCGGACTATTAGATTAGACCTAACAACTGAGTAATTAATTGAAAAAATACTCTGTAGATAAATGATGAAAATAATCCTTAGTTGCAGCCCTAGTGATGTTTAAGCCCTACAACACCCAGATAACCCCAGTATATGAAGTACTATGTATATGAAAAAAACATGAATTTCACCTACAAGGTTGCTGTTGGGTTGGGTTGAGATGCGATTTAAATTATTAAGCATAAAGACAAAATGGGCTGCTTCATGTAAATGAATAATTTAGTATATTTTGCTTATTTGTTTATCAAAGTTAGACTTTACTAAGTGTTTATACGATGAAACGCTCATCTTCGTTTTCCTCTGTCAAATGTAATGGAAGCAGTGAGGATCATTATCTATTAGGTCAACCCAACGACATAGACAGAATGATGTAAGAGATGCTGTGACATGACGATACATTTTAACATGTAGGTGGTGACTGGACTAATTAAAATCATCTCATCTGATTAGTCGTTTTATTATTTTGTACATCATAACTCAGTCCGCTCTTTCCTCTGGGACATTGCTTTCCGACCTCTGCAAACTACCAAAGACTGAGGGAGTAACATGATGACACAGACTGACACTCACACACACTCTCATTCCCTACAAATGATTAGTGATAAGCTTGCTGCGCAGAGGTCGTTCTTTACTGTTTGCGCAAGGACTCCTCTGTCTTGTGTAAATTTCCTGGAGCAGAGCATTTTCTAAAGGCATGACAATATGTGTCTGAGCAGCTGTGAGAGAATCCTCAAAGCCGTAGGTTGACATTACACTATCTCTCTGACAACAACAAAGACCTTAATATTGTTTCCAGTTTGTATCCAAACCCAGCTGAACAGTCTGAATAAACAACAGCTTTTTCTGTGTGCCTGTGGTTACTATGAACACAGCAGCAATGTTGACTTGGGTGATAGCACTCATCCCTCATACATGCATGTGCACAGTGGCTGCTCAATGGGAACCAGATGGTACTGTAACCTGAAGGGAAACGGAAGAATCTGTGAAGCGTCTGTCAGCAAAACGCAACGACTGAAATGCTATTTTGATCTTTGTTATTGTGACCTGAACTCAACAATACCTGAAAGAGCTCGTGTCTTATGCATACACTTTGCCTGTGATATCCATCAAATTGAGCACCGTAGTGGCAGGTGGAGGATTTGCAGAGAGATAGCTTTACTTCTGCTATTTGAAATTGGCTAGAATATTGAAAGTCCCATCAGGTGTGCTGTGGGTTGATTTGGGCTAAGATGAGGGAACAGCAGGAGGTCAAGGCCACTGGGCAGAGAAAGAACGAGGAGGGAAGATTCGAAAACAGGCTTTTTCAGATCTCAGTCAGAGAGGTAAATCAGTATGCTGGCTGGGAGACGCTCTAATGAAGAGTCGTCTATACTGAGACTGTAGAGCAGTTTCCCCATCCCCAGCTGTGGTGTAGTTGCCTGGAGATGGTTGGATGAGCTTTCAACATTATCAGTTCAGAATGTAGATAGGCATGTTGGTGTGGGCTCCTGGGTAGCAACAACATGTACTCTTGCAGTCACACACATCTGTGCATGTACACCCACACGTGCTGACATTAAAAGGCATGGAATGGGAGGAAAAAAAACACTTGTTTGTAATCATTTTCAGCCATGCTATTTTACAGCTCTATAGTCGGTCTGTCAGAGTGAAATATCTTAAAAGCTACTGGATAGATTACCATGAAATTTGATTTTGAACATGGTAAAAGCATTCTGACATTAGAATTTTGCACAAAAACCTGCTGTGACACAGCCTTACAAAGCTGCTAGCAAGGCTGTAGACTCTTAGTCTGTTATGTTAAGATACACAGTAAAAAATGATGAACTTGATTTAATTATTATAAATAATACTGACATGTCCACGTGGTACTCTATTTCAACATCAGCTACTGTATGTGACCTCAAGGTGGCTGCAGACTTGATACCGAATACACAACCCAGACGCAGTCAGGCCATGGTTTATGTGTTGCTACTTTTTAATTGTGATGCTTGTTCGACTAATACTGCCTTGATTAATAATCTTTAACCATGTTGGGTTGAGCTGGAGTGATTTGGTCATTTCCCAAAGCATCACGCTGAACTCTCCCTCAGTGGAGCCACTGTCATATATATTTAAATTTTGATCTGAGATATTCTCTGCTGGATGCTCTCAAGGCTCCATATCCAACATTTCATCTGACTTTCCTATAGCTTTGGTTTTTGATCCCACTTTATGTCACTTTCGCTTTAAAGTCAATGCCCAGAGATTATTCATTTTAATGACTATCTTCTCTGATGTTTGCCTGAAAAGAAATGCCTCGCTTAAAGCAGTTTCAGTCGAGCAGAGTGTGGCTGCTTTATAAAAACAACGTTAGAAAGTGGTTCAATCTTATGGCCTCAAACCATGTGTAGTAATTCTTGGCAGGAACTAGTTTGAGCTGAAGAAGAAAAACAGCGGTGCAGCAGATATGCACATTCCAGGGATGGAGTATCAGGGGTGGATGAACTCTGTTTAAAGAGGAACAACTTGTAGTGTTTGTTTTTTCCAAGCGCTAGTAAGATTAGCTGTGGGGAAATGACACTCTCTTTGAATAGAACAGAACTTGTTTTTGTGCTGAAAAGAATTAGCAGTTAGTTAACAGGTGATAGTAAATAGCAGTAAATAGCTCCAATATAGCCTGCATTGTTCATTGAGTGAATCCAGATGTCCAAAAATTGCCACAAAAATCCAAATAATGTTTATTTTGGCTTTACAGTGGTTAGCATGGGGTCATATTTTACATCAGAAGGAGATCTGAATCTGACTACATTTCCCTGCATTGACTTCCCATAAAGGTCTGATTTTGATTGGCTAACTCGTACATCCTTTCTCTCATATGCATCTCTGTGTGGGTGATCCCTCTCACTAACTGAGTGAAGACAGAGAAGACTTAAAAATGGTGGGCACATCTTCCCCCACCGCCATCATAAATCACGTCTTTGGTTACAGATGGATGAGGAATCCTCTAATTGTAATATAGAGCTACTCTCTATCCACCAGATGTAGTTATTGATTCGGAAAGAAACTAGACGCCTTATTTCCTCTGGGCTGCAGGACGCACTACAGTGGAAAACAAATCGCCTGGTAATGACGGTGTTTATTAAAAAGATGTAGGCTTGCTTTGTGTCACTCTGTGTCATCTCTATCTGCAGTGAACGCGGCTCCCAGCAGACAGGTATTGCTGGAAAAAACATATACAGTATCTTTCACAGCAGGAGCCCCCAGATAACAGCCAAAGTGGAAGACAGGCATTATCACAACATAAACATTTGACTTTGCTGGCGTCTCACGAGCATGAGGTGGTACCTCATTCTTTCATTTAGGAGGAATGCAGTGGGGGCGGAGCAGGTGTAACTACGGTTCCCGGTCTTAACAAGGACATTTGCATATCTTGATGGCTTTAGCCTATCAAAGAAACAACAGTCAAACCATCTAGCTGCTGTTTAGTCCTTTGTGAAAAGAGAGAAAAAAAAGAGGCTTCAAAGGCTGAATACTGATACTCCTGGAATGAGGCTGCAAATAGCTTACATGTTAAATACCAGAAAAGACTAAAACTTCTCCTTTGAATCTTGCATGTTTCATCTTGACTGCATTTTCCTCAGTTCACTAAATCCCTCCCCCAAACAGTGATAATCCAATCATAGCATAGCAACCATAACCAGGAACTACCCAGGTCTGGGTCAAGCCTGTGGCTCTTTGCTGCATGTCGTCCCCTCTCTCTCCCCCTTTCGTGTCTATCCTGCCCTCTAAAGCCCTGCCCACCCACCACCCAAAAAAATATAATGTGCCTTATACAGCAGAAAACCGATGCATCTCTCTGACCCAAAAGCAATGCTAAAAATGTGGAGGAAGGGATGTACAAGCATAAGAAAATCCCTTCTGAGACGATATCCTGCTTGAGGCCATGTTACCAGGATACACGGATCATGACACCAAACTCCACCGTGGAAACCCTGATTCCCCCCCCTCCCCCAGCAGGGATGCAGTTTGGTAGGGGTGTGTGTTGGAGCTGAACCTCCAACCTCTCGCTGGCAGAAACTGAGACCCGTTTCCATGCCAATTGTCTACAGGGGCCTCCACCATGACAGCTATCTTGGTGTGCACTGATCCCACTTTGATTTTTCTCCCTTAAACAGATCACTGAATTCACTCAAGTCAGGCTGGGCAAAGCAGACGAGGGAAGAAGAAAAAAAAGAAAAGAAAAGCCCCTCATTATTTCTAATGCTGTCTCGATTTTCTTTGTCTGAAACCCTGAAATATGAACAGGTGTTCCTTTAGAATTTTAATGCGGGCTCTTTCACAGCTCAGCGGCTGAGATTTCTTTTCCGTTTTGCCTGCATAGCACACCAGAGACGAAGACACTACCTTTGTGGTTTCATTCCGAGGTAAGGCCAGAACTCTGAGGAACAGAGTTATATCCCAAA